TAATAGGAGTGATCCAGTGCGAAGGGAGCCACAGGAATTCGATGGGAAGGCACCGTGGGAAGCATATAGAGCACAATTCGAGCTACTGACAGAGATGAACGGATGGACCCCCCATCTTGAAAGTCCCAACAGCTAGGTGTAAAATGCCAAGCACACACAGTGTCTATGTGACAGGAAAGCTAGATGGCCAAAGGTGCAACTTTGTCATAGACTCTGCGTCTCAGCAAACCCTTGTGAGCATCAAGGTGTTAAATCACAAAGGAGTACCAGAAGCCATACAGAAGCTTTATGGTGTGACAGGACATTCTACAAGACTGTGGGGACCAGTGTGGGTGACTATTGAGCTCATGGGCATAAAGGACAGACAGGAAGTATACTTGGCTGACATTGAAGATGAATGCATCTTAGGATTGGACTATCTACTACCTAGAAAGTTTGTAATTGATTTTGATAAAATGACGTTTGGGAATAACAAAGGCCAAGTTTCGGTAACTGTTAAAAGAGAGGTTGAGCTGATTGGGTGCCATCGGGCTGAAGTCAAGCCGACTGAAAAAGTTGATGATGACGAACTGGAACCAGGTATCGATATCAAGGCATTCTCGGTATAACCGTTTGCCAGGTCGTCACTTTCCCATCTGCAGTTTCCCATCTCCGGAGAAGAATACCATCTTCAAGCCTCAACTGTTCCCATTGTGCCCAATAGTTCTTTGTCACAGGGCTTAGACTAGACACCTTCTCCCAAGCTGGGCGCAAAACACTTGCTTGTAGGAAATTAATCATTGGCTTCAAATCTTGGTCTTTCTCCTGTTCTTTACGGTGCTGCATCAGTCCCATGACAGTTTAACAGGAGGACATCTCGGAGTTAAGAAGACATTGAGTCACCTATGACAGAGATTTTACTGGATAGCTATGAAGCAAGATGTGGAAGAATGGTGCAGGACCTGCAGTACATGTTGTGCTAAAAAAGGACCCAAACATAAGGGACGCGCTCCAATGAAGTTATATCAAGTTGGTGCACCAATGGAACGAGTAGCCGTCGACATTGCTGGTCCTCTGCCCCAAACTCGTGCTGGAAACAAGTACATTTGTGTGGTGATGGATTATTTCACCAAGTGGCCTGAGGCATAAGCAATGCCAAATCAGGAAGCTTAAACTGTAGCTATTAGTGATATCTTCTTCAGATTTGGTATGCCATACGAACTGCATTCAGATCAAGGCCATAAATTTGAATCAGTTGTGTTCCAAGAATGCTGCAAGTTGTTTGGCATCCGAATGACCAGGACAACGCAACTTCACCCACGATCTGATGGGATGGTAGAAAAGTACAACTGGACACTGGGACAGGAATGGCCAAGATGACTGGGATGTCTTACTCCCTCCACTGTTGATAGCCTATAGGACAGCAGAGCATGAAACCAATGGATACACTAAAGCAAAGTTGATGTTTGGTCGGGAACTTCGGTTGCCAATGGATCTGATAACAGGACGCCCACCTTACGAAGAGTTGCCTGAAAATGTGTCAGAGTTCGTGAAAGTGTTATCTGAAAGATGGATGATATTCACCATCAAGTGCATTCAAACTTAAAAACATCTGCTGATTCCATGAAGCTATATCATGATAAGAGGTCTACTGAAGTCAGCTTTGTACCAGGAGACAAGGTGTGGTTTTATAATCCCAGGAAGACCAAAGGGAAGTCTCCTAACTTGTCTTCTCTTTGGGAAGATCCATATGACATAGTGGATTGTCTCTCAGACGTGACTTTCCGAATAAAATGTGGTCGGCGATGTAAGCCATAAGTGGGGCACGGCAACAGGCTTTGGCGTTATCATGGTACAGGACATTTCAGTTGGAACGAAGTGAACCACGGAACAAATGACGCTGCTGAAGACGTGTCACCTGAAAAAGCCACTGTCGAAGAAGAAACTATACCCGGTTTTGAGAATGGAAACAGTGAAGCCCTTTATGAAGTTACTACCACTGGTGTGACTGTTACCGATAATAGGACATTTCCTGATCGAACAGATGAACCCCACGTGAAGCAGAAGCCAACGAGACGGAGACCAGTACGGAAGAAGATACGTCTCGTAAAATTAAGAGACTTTGGTGAATTTTAATTTTGGGTTTGTAAATTCTGTACATTTTATCAAGTTATTATTAATTATCCATTGGTTTTATGTAAGTGGCTATTGTTCGGGACGAACAATACCAAGGAAGGAGCAGTATTACGACAGCGGAGTTTACGTGACGCTGGTAACACGTCATGAGTTT